ATATAGTCTTCCCGTCAGTTTGGGGTTGACTGAGAACACAAAGTTCCACGAATTTAAGTCGAATAACAAGTCGGAATGATGCCAAGGTCGACAATTCCGGAATTACCGCTTTTAACCTACGTCATCTGACTGGAACAGTTAAACACTATTGCGAATCACCTCACTAACATTATTTTAATAACTCGAAATTTACATCATTCATTGTTAGTATCAAAGTGTATCAGGCTATTTATATGGAGGATTTGGACGTATATTATTTTTCAACAGAATTTTACTAAAAGTTCCAGAATGAATATCAACAATTCTGGTAAATAATTTATGATTTTAACTGACTTCTGAAAATAAATAGCGCTGCAGACATTCCAGATCGGATCCGAATTTGTAACAACACCCATATCAGAAGTTGATCAAACATCGTCATCTCCAAACACTTCTGTGGAAAGGTTCTCACATATGCAGCCACATTAGTAATCTCATGCACTTCTTGCCCGTAGCACCGTTCATTTGCATTGCTTCTCGTTACCATTGACATCTTCAGTCTTCAGTAGTAAGGATAGGAGGCTATTCGACCTACATAAATCCTTGCAATTTGTGGCACTGTGGAGATCTAGTCTCGCTTCGAATGTATCAACATAAAGCCCTGATATTACGTTTTCTGGCAAAGAATCCCATTAGTTCACCACTCAGTGCGAGAAACGTCACTTCAGACGTCAACAATTTAATATCAGTTTCAGAACTCTCTTAGAATGTCTTCTAATGGTCAGTCCTATGTGGAAAGAAAAGTAAAGCATATTTATACGAAGATCATCCTTTAGTATATGGTAAGCTAGTGTTAGATAATCCTGTAATCTTCGGTAAGATTTCGAAGATAGATCTAGGTGTCTGAGACTGTTTCCATAAGATAGGCTGGGAAGACCTTTAATCATTTTGGTCCCTCGTCGTTCAACAAGTTCTAGCACGTCCACCTTATACTAGAAACAGGAACTCTCTACCCCAATCCTTTATTACAAACGCGGCCTAATAGAGGTCGGGTATGATACCTTATACATTTCGTCTAAGTAGTGAAATAACTTATAAATGGCCCGTAATACCCTTAAGCCTTTATAGCTCTAGCCTTGCAGTTACTTTTAATTTTGAACTCGTTGCCTATTATGACTCTGTAACAACCTAGGTTGATTGATTGAAAGTTTGCCGCAAACATCTAAGCAAATATTAGAACACTGAAGCTCAAGCATTTATTCACTTCCTTACTTTGCATAGGGATTATACTTCACATTATTTTACATTGAGTGTCGTAAAGATCTATATGTTTGAAAAGGTAACCTCACGCTCCACTTCACCTTCAAGAATTTCAAAATAAAGACCTATTCACTACTAGTATGGTTTCTTCTATTGGTAGAATGAGGAGTACCCCTTAACATAAATTTGAAAAGCTGTCGATATCTCGAGAAGCGACCGATCTAGGCTGGCTAAAGGTTGTAAGGGATGCGTACCCACTATTGATGCGTGACCGAGCGTCTTCAGCTAGATATGTCTATCAAAACTAGTGACGTTAGCAACAAGTATCAAAGACTAACAGAACTATTGATTTTGGGGATTTATTTTTCGCTACATGTGCAAGCTGTAATGACTTCACATACCTTATTTTAACGGATTCATTTATAGCTTCTGTTTGACCTAATGCTCACAACTAGAGTGCATTTACAGTTATTTCTAACTCTCCATTTATCAACACTACTATGGATAAGTGACCCAATAGGTAGTCAGGACAATGCTCTTGCAGTATAACTCTCACGACTACACTCTAGCTGAACCAATTATTGTCAGTCATCCATACAATATTTTGGAAATTACCGCTAGTACCATGTGACTAAACCTTATTTAATGTATATGACGGTTCATGCATCTTTTTTTGTCGTATAACTAAAACCTATAGCATATATGGCTTTTGTTTATTATTATTACTATTAGCATGGGCAGGAAACACTTGCGCTGTTCATATTTTAGCCGGCTAACAACCGTCTAAAGTTTGCGTTCCACTGTGGCTTGTTAGGACGCTGTGGTGTACTTGTATTATCATTATTATTATTATTATTATTATTATTATTATTATTATTAACTATTATTCACAAACATCTTATGGGTACATAAGTGTTGTGAAGAAACCAATTCAGGTTTCTTCAAAAATGCTCTAATACACAAGTTTCAATAATGTTAGCGTTATATTTGCCATATTTGAAAAAGGGGATAATATTAATAATAGAATAATAATAAATCATGTTCTGTGTAATTGAGAAGAATATTGAAATGAGTTTAAAGGAAAGGAAGAAAACAAGGGAATAGAAATAAAGGAGACGTCAAATGCGCAAATAGTTTAATAGGCGTTTTTATGGGCACAGAACAAGAATAAACGACCATGTGTGTATGGTGAAATTGGCAACAAAAATAAAACAGACAATAATTGAGAAAAAATAACTTATTATTGCAGTGAGACATAACGCTAGAATAAGTGTGCAGTCATAGTTTGGAGTGATGCTATGAAAGCCACAATTAAGTGAAAAGAATAACCAAATATCAATACGTATGGGTTACTTGTGCATAATGAAGATAAAATGAGTCTGAGCAGATAATTTATGTGTAACACAAGTTATTGTTTTAATTAGAAACTTCGTAATCTTAAGAATAATGTTTATTTGGAAGGAAAAAAAGTTAGAGAAAGGAAATGAACATCTAGTGAAATGGTTCAACCACGATAATAATAATAATAACTGTGTAATGAATATTGACCTCTGAAGTAAACCAACAATTTAAAAAATAAAATGAGATTAAAAAACAAAAATCCTTTACTGCACTCGGATAAATACATGTAGATTTATGTAATAATATACAGAGTGAAACCGGATATTAGTATAGACATTTGTGCAATAATGCTTAAGAATGTTGCTATGAAAGTCACAATGAATTGCAAAGGATCATCAAATGCAAATTTATATGTGTTATATATATATATATATATATATATATATATATATATATATATGTATATATATATATATATATATATATGGCATCTACATCAATATGAAGGGGGCTTCCCAGTCGACCTGCTGTAGACCGGCCTGTAAAGCTAATACATTCAACCACTTGCGATTCCGAAGCCTATTGTTAGTAGGATATCTTGGCTTGATTTGTTTGATAAAATTGCAATCTTTGACGGCTAGGTCACCTTTAGACAAGAGATTCAAGAGTTGTCAGGTTGTCAGTTAGGAAATATTCGTTTGTAGATATACATAAGCAGCTAATGATGTCGATCTTAAATGTATGAGCTTTATTGTCCTATTTATCTGAATGAGCCCTATATGAGTGGACAAACAACTTACCTACACAGGATTTTCCGAGCCAGCAATCTCCGTCCCTTCCAGGCTTTTCATTGTTCTTGACGGTCTACAAGTGGAATAACAAGTTCCAGCTTCATTTTGTGCCTGACCATTACATCTTGTGGTATGTTCGGATGGATATACATTGAGGTTGGTAACAGACGTCTGTTGACATGAAATACTTCCAGAGTGGCGGTCGTCATTTGGGAGGATGAGAAAGTTATCTTTATTAGCTAAGGTTCAGAATCCCTGTCCCTCATGGCTAGTCGCACTACGTGTTCAGTGCTTGATGAAGTTACTCTCGATTATCAGAGTCTGCGTAGTCAGGGTCCGTGTTTTCTGGAAAATCCCGCAAAACTATATTTTTTTCAGCGGAAGAATGTATTGCGTGATAGTTTAGGGACGTCTCTAATGAGGTTGTGCCCAGAATTTGGAATATTAGGCAGTAACCTCATATAACCCGATTTCAGCACGTAACTTGCCAGCTGAATATCCTCTACAACAGCCATGTTCGTGATAGCAAAAATGATTTCTTTGAAGTCGTGGTCGACTGAATAAGGATGGTGCAACTCTTATTCATACCTTAGTGACCAAGCTGTTCATCAACAGAACACAATGTCTCTTGAGGTTTTGATTTAGAGTCATAAGTACCTTGACTCCGGAGTAATTCATGACCGGTTTTAATGCTTATTGAATTCATATTCCCTTATCTCCATGAAGACATTATTCTCGTGGATTTAGTTTAAATAAAAGTATAGTGTCATGTACATAAAAGGATTTTTGTAACAACGGAACCAAAGACCACTTTTTTCCTTCATTTGTAGCATTATGTGAAACCACATTCATATACAATCCTTACTGCTTACGTGTATCAATAAAACCAGACATGATTGATTGACTGATCAATACTCATGCTGTCGTTGTTATTCAACTAAAGCGTTATCTCTGCCAACTGTTATTTTGTTTTGCTAGTCGTAATCTGTGATTGAAGGCTGTAATTTTTATTTGATTTATTTGAACACATAAATATTAGTACAAGAGGGCACCAAATATATATGCGCCACACCATATTTGTTAGGGTGTGGGCTGTGATACTGCCCGTGTGCCCAGACCGAAGTAGGCTGTTTTCTTAGGTGGCCACGCCACGAGCCTTTGACCTAAAAGTCTGATCCACATAGCAGTGAGAATCGTGAGGAGATGCAGTCCTGTTGTAGCCGGTGACCAACAACTGGTTCACACGTTATTTGTTTCCTTAGGATCCTGTGGCCCATGTGCACCATTGATTTGGAATCAGGGTTTTCCAACTCCTCATTTCTCTTCTTTCTATTCCATTCAACTTATATACAAAATATATGTATTTAAAACTCCATTCTCGTTATTTGACTTATCTAAATCCGTTATTGACTAACGCGGTTAAAGTCGATGATTATATACGAGGATAGGCGACATATATATTTCAACAACAATCATCATTACGATTTCCTTGGAGTCAGATCTCGGGCCACTAAAGTGGAGAGCTCTTTCAACAACATCGTCTGATCTAAATGACGACAAAATAACGGGCCTCCATAAAAGTAAATCGAAATGAATACTTAACAATTAGCAATGATAACACGAAATGTTACTCAAGTAAGTTTTTTTTTCTTTGCTGTTATTCAAGTTGACAGTCTTGCTTTAAAAAAAGAACAACAACGTAGAAATTATACAAATAACCGATGGTTTCAGAAACTTTTTCTATCTTGAGCAATTCATACAGCAGGGGAAAAAAATTAAATCTACCAGTAATTATTGAAGTCATAAAGATATTCATCAGAACTTTCAATCTTGAAGTGTATGCAACTAAATATATATATGTGTATACATACGTATCCATGCAACCAGATGAAAATGATATCACCAGAAAAAAGAGAAAAAGAATAATGAGAAAATCACTAGATTAGAATGGACGTATTACGAGTAAAAAAAGAAACAATAGAATGTGTTATAAAGATATGTACCACTTGATGTCATATTTCAATGATAAGAAAGATAATGGAAAGAATCACAGTTTTTCGGTTGTTAGCGTAATAAGTTAGCTAGAAGATAAGGAGTATAAGAGTAAAGGTTAGTGAAAAATACACATATTCAACGTTATGATGGTTAAATTTCATTTTACAACCAACCAATTTGAATTAAAGTACAAATAAATAAAGAGAAAGTAAAGGACAATTTACATTGATCACCCCGAACAAGACAAGTTTAAGAAAAATGATTATTGTTTTCTCAATATCCAGGATTGTTTTCCAGTTTATGAATTATTTATTGATTAAAAATTCACAGATGCATTGACACATTCTAAACCTTCATGAAGTGGTGGAGGTGTAGCATTTGTTGCTGAATGTTGACCTGTTGTCAGACTAGCGTGAATATTGGCAGTTAACTCTTGTGGATTACCGTAATCATATGATGCACCATTTATGTCCGATGTGAATGCAACTAAATTACGTGATGTGGGCGGAAATATCAAAGGCATTGAGTTGGATTGATCTGCTGACACACTGATATTGTTATTAGATGTGTGGCTATTATTATTATTATTATTGTTACCGCTGTTGTTATTATTGTAATTCATAGCCTGATTTGAACTTAAAGCAAATTGATTATTAAGCAAGGCGCTTGACAATGAGTTAGTCGAATTAACAGGTGTAAATAAAGATGATGGAATAGTTTGATAATTTGAGGCCATATTAAGCAATCGCTGATAAGCCATAGCAGCAGAATATGCATTCAATTCATTCGGTGAAACCTCTGGAGTGAATGTTCTACAGAATGGTGACACAGACTGACTACCTGTCAATACATTTAAACCAGTTGTATTTGATGTGGTAGAGTTCAAATTTAATAAGCTTGTTGCTGGTAGACTGGGTGAATTCAACGATTGATGTGTGACAGGTGACATTCCAACAAATGAATTATTTCCCGGTAATACAGTATTCAACCCACTTGTACCCTGTCCGTAGGTGGACATTAAAAGTGCTAATGCAGCTGGTGAAATATTTGGCTGATTTGTATTCGTTGTAGCTGCAAGAGCTGCTGCTGCAGCTGCCGCCGCGGCTGCTGCAGCACCAGATGAAGGATTTGCAATCGCATTTGAATAATTAAGTAAATAATTCAAATTAGCTAGTGGATTCAATGGGAGCTGAGCTTGTAATCGATTATCAGATGTTGGATCAGTAGCTACAGATGATATATGATTAGTTGGCGTTTGTAGTATACCATTCATACCAGGTGATAATGTAGCAGCAGCATTTGGCATATTAAAACCTGTCAATAGACCTGCATTCAATAAAGGATTCATTAATGAATTGTTAACAACTGCAGCCGTGGCTGGGTTATTATAGAAACCTGGATGACTAGCGTCGATAGGTAACCTTTAGGAAAAAAAAAGATTAATGAGCAAAAAGAAAGTTAAATTCTATGAATTGAAAGGGCATTGAAAATTCAATAGAAACACTGAATGAAACCTTAAAAACGCAAAATTGTAAAAGATACATCTACAATGAATACAATTCGATGTACTTTTTTTGTTTTGTGATTTGACTACACATCATGCATTGATTTGTGCATTCACAACATGAAAAGCTACCAGCTAAAATTGTACACTTAATTTTTTTTTTAAAAAAAGATACGAAGTTCAATGAAGGGATCTCTCTCTTTTCAACGAATTTATTATCAAGTTGTACAAACGTATATAGATATATGAAAAGTTGTTTGTTGTTTGTTTGTTAAAGTACTAGTGTGATATGAGCCTATTTATTTTGGTTTATTTGAATACATAGATATTGGTACAAGGAGGCACCAAATAGATATGCACCACACAAGTCTCATTCGATTAGTGTGAGGGTTGAGGTACTGCTCAGTTACCCAAACCTAAGCAGGTTGTTTTCTTAGAGGGCCACATCACGAGCCTTTGACCTAAAGGTCTACTTCATAACGCAGTGGAGCAACGTCAGGCCGGTGACCAACAATTGGTTCATACGTTATTTGTTTCCTTAGGATCCTGTGGCCCATGTGCACCATTGATTTGGAATCAGGGTTTTTCAACTCCCCTAGGCGGATCCTCCGTATCCACCAACCCGGTCAAAGCGCCGGACATTCGCTTTTCGTCCTCTCAATTTCGTAAACAACATCCTTGTGATGAGAAGGCAGTGAGTAGGACTTTCCTGGCAGTAGTTGTATGCACGTGGCCATGTAAGGGCATTTGCGAAAGAGAGTTGACCCCCCCCACTCTCGGCCGTACCAGAGAATTTGGTTAGTAGTATCTAACGATAGTCAGGAATAGAATGTATTTCAGTAAGAGATCGAGAAGGAATGAACGGAAACGGAAGGCACTTTATTTAACTTGAGTTATATCATTCACTTAGAAATAATCAAGTCAAATTTAATGTTAACGTAATTATAAATCGTAAATATTGAAGCCCGTAATAGTTCAGCATTATGTTGTTACTCATTTGTCAATATTGCTATTGAGTGAACAACCTATGTCGTCTCAAAAGTACTTTATTCAAATGCCACTAAGAGCAGTTAACTAAAAAAAATTTTTTTTTTGATTGAGATCATGAACCGATTGATGTTAGACCATCACAATTGAAAACCTGGAAGCACTGGACGACCGTTTCGTCCTATTGTGGGACTCCTCAGCAGTGCGCATCCATGATCCCGCTCGCGGGATCGGTTCATGATCTCAATCAAAAACTTAATAATCTCCACAACCCCTATACTAGTAAAAAAAATATATTATGTAATATATTCTAGAGAACCTCGTGATGGCAGATTAATCTGAAACTGTTCCAAGTTTAACAATAACTAGGAAACAGTTTTGTTATGGTAATATGTGTAATATCTAAATTACATATATTGTGTGGTAAAGAAAGATAAAACTATTATGAACTAAGCTAACTGATTAGAGTTCATGGATCAAAACATCAATCCAATATTATGGCGAGACTATAATTTATGGACGAACCAAACAGGTATAAGATAATAGGTCTCGTATATTGGCGTAAAGTTCACTCATCTATTTGGCTAAGTAGATTCATGGCATTAAAGATGATATCACTTCATAATGAAAACCTTAATCATCAACTGTAAATCATAATTCTAATTCCTCACACAGGATTATTACCTTCATTTGGTCCTAGATATTAGATGAACATTCTCAAGGTCAGTCTAACATTGCTCAAAGATCGTACACTAATTATAGTCTCACCGAATGCTTAGTAGGAAGATAAATCTACAATGATGTATCTGAAATTTGATGAATCTTAGATATAGTCATGCAAAATAACTATGAATTGAATTACTTTAGAATACATAAGAAGTTAGTCACTATCATATCAATAGAGTCATCGTTTATAAATCAAATTCATACGCAACTGCCTAGAAAATGAATAATCAGTCAGTATCTTGACATTTTACATATCAATCAGTCTTATTTGTATTAAGCTCTGAAGATCTAGATAGTCAGTCAGTATGATAAAGTACAAATGACCATATATACTGAGAATCTTATCATGTATTATATGTATAATATTAAATAAAGAAACCAACTTTCATTAGGAAAATGTTAGTAAATTAGCAAAACTCATTCATATCCCAGAAGGTATTGATTTTAAACCATTATCACCTCTGTGTGTAGACATAAAACTGTTAGTTATTTCAAGATTCTGACAAACATTCAATGTATATAAAGTAAGTGTTCCATCTTGAAACTCCGTGCGCAGCTATTCTAGAGTTACTGCCGATCCTAAGACCGAGTAAAGGAGGAGGGTTGGGCATAGGGTTAGTGACCCCATCCCGTAAGAAACTAACTCGCGCTAAAAAAAAACGCACACGCTAAAAATTGTTCTATCTGGTTTTCTTAATTAAAAGTAGTTTCAAATGGTTAGTTTTAAATTGATTATAACTCTTAACCGATGAATATGTATATATTCAAGAAGGATAAAATACATGAATCTTAGTAATGAAGTACTTTCTAACAATATGGTAACAGTAAAAGAACAGTTCAGTTTGAATCAAATCATCAGTATTGCTCATTTAAAAAAAACAGTCCTTATTTAAAATATAAAAGGAGGTGAAATGTTTCCAAACCATACAGGAATTCCTTACTATACTATTAACAAATATATAGTGTGAATAGAAGTAATAATGAGAGTAGTCGGAAATATTAGACATCCAAAGTCCCTTCTCAATTTGATTCGATGAAGTGTGTTTGACGAGACTCTAATTTATGGACGAGCCAATCAGAGGCGTTTTAGAGATTTGGAGGTCACGGCGCCAACTTCAGTGCTTAATGATAACGTATAATGGGTTCACAAGGAATTTTGTACAAAACGTGATAATTGTGCGGCTATAACAAATAAAACGGTGAGACTATAATTTGTGGACGAATCAATCAGGTATGAGATAACAGATCCCGGATTTGGGCACGAAAGCCTTTCACTCATTTGGCTAAACACATTTCTGGCATTATAGCGGACGTCAGTTTGTGATGAAAACCGCATATATAATTTCTAACTAAGGCAAATTATGATAACTATCGCGAACTGGATAATAAAAGTACCAGTAAAATTGGATGCAGTCAGGTACTACAATATATTTGGATGTTTGGAGAGCGTACAAACTCCTACATAGGTTTGGTTATGTGCATCGTGTCATTATCCACATGTGGTATTTTGTGTACTCAACAATCATAGTGCACATAAACAATATTGAAGCTATATGGTTGAGGCTGAAAGAGTTTTTGAGACTTTATCATGGATCCAGAGGCCGACTATTCTGTAGCCATATAGATGGTTTCCTCTACTGCATGGATTACGATTTTAAAATTTCTGAACCTCTTTCTAAACTTGACAAGTTTTTGAACCACGTATAAGAAGTGTATCCACTTTATTTCTTTGGTTTTGCATAACATATTTTTACTCTATACTTACTGTTCGCTGATTAGCTGATATTTCCCAAGGTCACCAGGGATTCGTTCAGAGGACGTCCATAAACTAGAGTCTCGCCGTGTGTTTATCTTTTGAATATACAGTATAGTACAATAATCATATTCATGTATAATAAAGGAATCTTTTCAAATTTCATTTCTCAGGATTATTCAATCTTACGTTAGTCTTATGTTGTATGAATTAAACTTCTCGAATAAGGTTGATATTTGTCATGTATATCTATGTACCTTTATTTACGACCATTTAAAATCAGGAAACAGCGGATGGTCGTTTCGCTCAAGTATGAGAATTTTCTGCAGCGGGCATCCACGATCAAGAATTTGAGAATAGAACCCAGAACCTTTAGTATCCTGTGCAAAGATTTATTCTCTAGACCACCGAACCAGAATCCAATAGTGTACAATTCTGATTCCTAGATTTTTGATAGTTGCTTAACTTAGATGGGTTCAGGATCTCAATATAAATCTAACAGTCTCCTAACATCTTTTGTGCTATTTATTATTTGATTTTATAAATCTGAGCAATTACTTTCTTTATTCAATAATTTAATTTCCATAAATCAATGTACAAGTGAATTCGTTAAATGGTAACATTTAACCATCATTCAAATTTGTTTGGATCACAACGTTATTGATATCGTTGATGGAATTTTCATCAGTCTTGATTAGAATATATGTGCATCTTGTACAGAGTTCTCAATGGATAACGTATTCGACACTAGAAGTGAATGGTACGGGGTTCGAGTCCCGTAGTGAGCATCAACACTGAAATTCATGCATATTCAGTCGATGGGTTTTAAGTAGGAGGTGACGTGAAACATAGATTTCTCCACTGGCTGTTTTACAAAAATAAGACACAACATGTTGTGTATAAGTTGTGACAACAATGATTCAGATTAAACATTAACACCGTCAGATGCCAGATCAGCGCTTGCGCTTAAGACTGATAGGTCTTGGGTTCGAATCCCGCGAGGCGGGATTATGGATGAGCACGGCTGGGGAGTCCCACAATAAGGCGAAATGGCCGTCCAATGCTTCCAGGTTTTCCATGATAGTCTAACTTCAATTGAATCATGATTTCAACTATTGAAATTACTACAATCTCCACAAAACCCCTTCTGATTCAGGTTCTTATTCATAATCTATGATTGATAGACATTGTTCACTACTACCAAGAGTGTTAACAGTAATAATAATAATAGTGGCAATAGAGATATTATTCTTGTCCAATCAATAATCATTATTATTATGGGATAAATGACATGAATAATGTGATCGTTTAAACAATTAGCATACTGATACGAAATGACACTACAGAGAGAAAGAAAAATTTTCATTATCAAAATAAAACAAACGACAAAACAAGAACACAACTCAAAACACAGCACTCAATGAATTGTGAAGAAAGCAATTGGAATACCAGATGAGTACACACTAATGACAAACAAGAATTATCATAATATACAAATATGACGATTAAAGTTTTCTCGTTTTTATTTTGTTTGTTTGTTGGTAAACTGAAAAACACTGAAAGGTATTGAGATAGAGAAGATTCTCTGGCAAAAAAAGTTGTTAAAACTTTCAAATTAATCTGTTGTTGTTTGGATCCATGCTGCTGTTGTTGTTGGTGGTGGTGGTAGTAGTGGTGGTAGTGGTTGTGGGGGTGGAGGTGATGATGATGATGATGTAGTGATAGTGGTTATTAGTACTCTTACTTTAAAGTATTGAGGGGAACAAAATTGATTAACGTATGTAATGATTCTAATTATAGCTTCGATTTACATGTATACAAGTATACATATATATGTACACACTTACACGTACACTCACACACTCTCTCACACACTCACACACACACACAAACAAACACCAAAGAAAACAAAATCGCACACGAATAAACCCAACTAAAGGGAATTTCACAACAGATATTGGAAAATTGCCTACCAGGAAACGATTCACAATAATGTGATAGATCTCTAGGATATAATCCACGTACCCAAATCCTTGTTGTTATATTTTAGAAAATAAATGATATTGATAATGAATTATTTAAAAAGAATGTAGGATTTAATGTCATTTCAACAATGTGTTGATGAAATAATCGATACTTTAAGAAATTAATGAATGATATGATAAGAATCGGTTAAATATTTGATATACATGAACTAAGAGATTTTATTCTACGTCTAT